GAACCACAATACCGACAAGTGATTAATAAAAGTCAAAAGACCAAAGAGGTCACCTTAATAAAAAAAAAAAAAAAAAAAAAAAAATAACTAATTTTTTTCTTGGATATATATAATTAAATAATAAAATTCTAAGAGCAATCTTCGTATTTCTTCAAATAAAACATTTAAAATTCAAGCTTGATACTAGGCCTTTAAAAGATCACTGGTACGTAGACATACATACCTTGCAGTTTTAAGTTGAAGTTGTTTAATACAAATGTCAATATTTTTATTGTCATTTGTCAATCTTTGTGTAATTCTTTGAGGATTACACAATCGCAGTTCGTTTCTATGATAAGACCTAATAAATAATATAGTATATATGTGGCTTAATATGAATTTTTAATAAAATATGGAATAGCGATAGTAAATACACTTAGAATTTTAATAAATAATAATTTAATTGTAATTTAATAATAATTATTTTATGAATAGTATGAATCTTATTATTAAATTGTACACGAACTATTCTACTTGCTTTGCTTTTCACATTCTAAAAAATTATTTAATACATCACAGGGATCATAATCCAAATCAGCAGCTAAAACGGTATGAGCCATTTCTACTACAGAAGATTCTAAATTTTCAATTCCTAAGTCAATAATTTCCTCAATTAACAAGGTTGTAGAATAATTAGATGTTATATTATCTAATGAAGTCTCATCATTAACACTTATTTGATCCTCTTCATAGCTTAAAATATTGCCAACCGAAGACATATTACATGCACATTAAAGATCAGCCTCTGCCAATTCTTTACCGGAATAGCTCAGCTCACGTTTGATGTTTGTCATATAATATGACCTAATTTTAGCTATTTCTTCTAATTTTTTTATACCCAGATTAGTTCGACGATCTCCTAAAATCCACTTTAATATTGAAAAATTCCTTTCACAATTTGCTTGTGTAGGATTAATTGAAAAAATTCTATAGGCTAATTCAGCTAAATGCCGTGGTTGATTTTTAAAAGACCCCCACCAAATTTTTGGAATATCTGTGCCTGAAACATAAGGAAGATCGAATGGTGGCAATCGTGCTTCGAATCATCGCATTTGTGCGATTAGTTCTTCACCTTCTAACCGAGTATGCCCAAGATTTTGCCAAAGCTCAAGAGACGTAAGAGCTGCTTTACGAAACCCATTATCTTTTAGACCTTTTCCTAAAAAAATATATATAATTTTTTAAAATTATAATATATACATATGGGAAATAAACTAAGAAAACTACTACTCTTAGATAGTTTTCCTAGATATATACATACAAAATGTTGTATTCCAAATTGGAATCTGTTCCGATTCAGAATCGTAACAGTTCCAGATGAGAATTTTGTAAATTTGTCTCGAATTATACTGATTAAAATTAAAAATTCTTTATTATAAACCCTAATTCTAATCCTAACATTAACTCAAAAATCTTAATTCTGTTAAAATAATTCACAAGATTCCCATCCAGAGCAGTCCGATTCTGAATTGGGTCGATTCCGATCTGGGGTACGACATATATATCGGGTGTTTGATAATTCTCTAGACAGGACTTTTTTTTAAATCAATAAATAATTTACTATACTAAAATAAGTATGGGTATTATGGTGGGGTTAAGAATAGCTAATAGTAAACGTTCACAATAAAAAGTTATTTGTATATCAAATTTGTTCTACAAATAGTAGACATAATTTGCTTTAAACCACCAAAAAAATAAAACCAATTTCATCTAAAACTATCATTATATTTTTATTTTCTTGAAAACGATCAAAAATTATGATTTTTAATGACTATGGGTATTGTGGCGGAATGATGTACCCTGATTTAGACCCGGGTAAAAAGTGGGAATCTTTTATCAAAGGGGGTCTTTTGTATGACTATTTTTTAGAGAATAATACTCAAAATTTTTTTTGGTAATGATTTTCTCCTAGTATTATTACCTCAACCGACAAAGATATTTTTTAATATTAATATCTCAAAAACTACGTATTAATTAGAATCTAATAATTTTAATACCATATTTATCTAATTAAATCGAATCAATTAGTAACAAAATTATTCGATTCTGATCATTGAACTATGAGAAATAGTTGATTTTTTAAAATCCGCCACAATACCCATACCTGCCATAATACTCACTTTATGTAATCGTTATGAAACAAAAACTAATACTAGCTGAGATATAAAAAAGGTCCTGTCTAGGGACTTATTAAACACCCGGTATATATACATATATAGATAGATGTATATATATGTGTACGTACGTATACATAAATCATTAACTAAAAATAGAATAATACTTGCCTTTATAGTATTTAAAGTATGTATGTATAGTATACGTATATAAAATTAGAGATTTGCAGAACTTGTAAAACCTAATCCTATAATTTAGTTATGCGTACCTCTGTATTGTGGATGAATATAATATGCCAAAAGATAAAGTGGATGTAAAAATTCTTCATATCGTCGATTAAAGATATTAATTGCAGAGGTTTTAAAAGTGTTCATTTCAGACAAACGTTCAATAGCGACGGCTAACCCAATTAGATATGCAAAACAATCAGCTAATGTTGCTTCATTAGCTTCCAATGCATAGATTATTTCTTTAATAGGTTGCCAAATGGAACGTACTAGTCGACAGGTTATAAAAAAATCTTCATTAGATATTAAACTAACTATTTCTTGATTTGTTATTGCCTCTTTATGTTCAGAAAGTAACTAAAGTTATTTTTATTAATAATGATAATAATTATAAAATACAGTATCAAGAATTAAGAAAAAAAATTTTATACTTACCCAATCAAACACAGGGCATGCACGAAGCATTGAATCAGTAGTAAAATATAAAGATCCCCAATGAGTTTTTATCCATGTTTTTAACTCGCTACCTTTAATTTTCATATCCGTAAATCCTTTAATAAGCAATGAATGACTAGAATGAGAAGAATTAAAAAAATGGTTAATTTTTCCACAATTAGAAATTAGTTGTTTTAATTTGTCTAATTTAACCAAATCAGCAGCAATAAGATTGATGGCATGAGCAACACATCGTATGTTCCAAATATGTGGGTACATTTCTTGAGTTTTTTGACGTGCTAAGTTACAATTTGAAGCCGCATCCGTTACCATGGCAGCAAACTTATCCGATCCAAGCTTTTCAACAACATTTGATATTTCATTTGCTAAAAATTCACCCGTTTGAGAATGTAAAGAATAATTTTTTAAGCCAATTAGGTACTCTTTTCAGGTGTCTGTTGTAATAATATAATTATAAATTGATTCCATTGTTGGTGTCGTCCAACCGTCTAAAGCTTATTATCAAATAATGGATTTAAAAAATTAATAAAATAAATATGCATCTGCATGCAACTTAGATTATGCACTATTTAGGGTTTATTACTATATACGTATTATATACAAAATTTACTACATCAAACATGATAAATTATACATGCATGCAAAAATGATTTCATATCTTGTGCAAAGTAAATTTTTAATTAAAAAAAATTTTAGTAAAATAAATAAATAAATAAGGGAAGTGCGTTATTACATAATTTTAAGAGGGGAGAGCAGTTATATTATGTTTATATGTCGTAGAAGTTAATTCAATTACCTGGGAGAAAGGGGTCTGACCTTTTAATAAAAAGAAATTATGTAATAAACAACACTTCTCTAAATAAATAAATTTGCTCTTAAATAAGATCATTTTGCACTTCGTGCAAAGTTATATATCTTTATGCTAATTTAAAAAAATAATACACATGCTTGTTACTTTGGATACATACTTACCTAGAGTTAAATAATCAGCTTTATCTATTTCTTTATCAATTGCACAATTTATTCGTACTATTTCCTCATCCAGTAATCGACCTGATAAAGTTGGTCTTGATAGTGGATTGTATGCAGGTAAAAATTCTTTAAACATATCTTTAACAAATGGATTTTCAATAACATCAAAGGGAATTCCTGCCATTACCCAAGCTTTAGTTATTTTTTGATCAAGCCGATCAACTGTAGCTTTTGGTAATAGATGATTAGATGAAAAATGAGATGTTATTGATGGTTGTGCTGGAGATGGTAAGACATTTTTTTTTCGGGTATAATTGGAACTTCTTTCTGCTACTTTGTCTCGCCAATATTGTGATATATGCTCAGGACAATTGGAACACTCATTCGCTAAATGTGCTTCTAATTTTGCTGGTTTTCCTCTTGCCCAAAACTTTTTAGGAAGACAATAATAACAAGTAGCTTCATAATGTCCGTGACTTTTTTCCGCCCCCTTAATATAATAACTCCATATCTCAGAAAACTGTCTGGACTTTTTATTTTTAGTTACAGATTCTAAATTAGAACTACTTGTCATATATTCTTCTTCCGATTCTGAACTATCTTCAATTTCTTCCTCCAAATTTATATTTCTTTTTCGTAAATTGGATTCGTTTGTCTCCATAGCAGATAGCTAAAAATTTAGTACTGTAATATCACTATTGACAATTAGATAAACATACACCTAGACATAAAGTATATATACAAGCTGATCTCTTAAACTCTTGGTTTTCACGTACAAATTTGTCTGCAAGATGTTTAAGAAATATGTTTAAAGATTACTATATTAATACAATACTCAAGAAATATGTTTAAGGATTACTATATTAATATGATGCTTAAGGAATATGTTTAAGGATTACTATATTAATACGATGCTTAAGGAATACGTATGTTTAAGGATTGCTATATTAATACGAATATATTGCACGTCTGAAATCTGTGACAGGTTATGTTGATCACTAAATCGAAATTGCATAAAGATCAGAATTAAACGCAGACTTTAACTAACTTGTTATTCGATATTTAAATATACTTATATAACTAAAATTTCGTCCTGAAAACTTTTATTTAGAAGTCAAACTGTGGTTATCATAATAAAATCTTGTGTTATTTACGATTTTTCTATTTTCTCAATGTCTTTTAGAATTTTTTAAAGTTACACATGATCTTGTGATTTTATTGGCTACAATCAGCAATGATCGATATAACCTGTCACAGATTTCAGACGTGCTAGAATTATCACCTTTAGCAGGTTTCAAAAGCACTCAAATGCATTTTTCCATCGTTGACTGTGCCTATAGCACGTTGGTTGCAGTAGGTTCAAGGTTGAGTTGCCTATCCGAATTGTCACTTTCAGCAGGTTTTAAAACCACTCAAATGCCTTTTTTCATCATTTATTGTGCCTATGAGACATTAGTTGCAGTAGGATCCAAGTTAAGTTGCCCATCCGAATTGTCGCCTTCAGCAAATTTCAAAACTATACAAATGCCTTTTTTCATCATTAACTATGTCTATGCCACGTTGGTTGCAGTAAGGTCTAAAGTTGAGTTGCCCATTTAATTGTCACCTTGGTTGCAATAGGATTCAAGTTAAGTTGCTATTCGAATTGTTGCTTTCAGCAGGTTTCCAAACCACTCAAACGCCTTTTTTTTTATTATTGACTGTGGTATGCCACATCGATTGCAGTAGGATTCAAGGTTGAGTTGCCCATTCTAATTGTCACTCTTAGCAGATTTCAAAACCACCCAAATGCCTTTTTTCAGCCTTGACTGTGCCTATACCACGTTGATTCCAGTAGGGTTCACCATCCGAATTGTCGTCTTCAGCAGGTTTCAAAACCACTCAAATGCCTTTCTTTCTTTTTTTGGTTGTATCTATAGCAAGAGTCAAGAGAATAGTGCTATCCACAAAGCCTTAAACTTAGCACCAGAAGTGATGACTCTGGAGTCGATTTCAGAAGATATGTCTCTAATTACAACTAAAACGATGTCTAAAAGTAAGTTACTAATGCACATCTGAAATCTGCATAAAGGTCGGAATTAAGTGCAAGTTTTAATTTACTTGATATTCGATATTAAATATACTTATATAACAAAAATTTCGTGCTAAAAACTTTTATTTAGAAGTCAAACTGTGGTTATCATAGTAAAATCTTGAGTTATTTACGATTAAGTATATACTATATATATAGTAATAAAACGGAGATGTTTTATAGGGCTGAAGCCCTGTATATTAGGTTCTAAATTGTAAAGCTAGTACTGTAGCTTACCTAATATCATCAATATAATATATAGATAATAAAATCCAATTCATTAATATAAGAGTAGAATATGTCAGTTTAAGCAACAATTCTATATGTTTAATTAATATACATGCGAACAGATATATTAATAATGTCATTAAGATTTATTTCGATGACTTAACTGTTCTTCAGGTATTATCGTGCTTTTGAATTTTAAGTATCGAACTATTGATCGCACTCAAAAAATCTGTGCCAGGTTTTGTCGATCATTGTCCTGATCCACAAATCAGATCTCAAGAATCAGGTGTAATGTAACACGATCAGGAAATTTCAAAACAAACGTTCGTTTTGTTAAAAATCGCCCATTTCTCAAAAACCAGTATAAAAAACCACTTTTAGTGCTGTAACAAAAAAGTTTCCTTGAGTAATTTTACTATATAATTATCTAACCTTTAACTTTATACTAAATGCTAATCCTAACGTTAATGAATTTTAAGAATTTTTACTATATTACAGTGATCGACAAAACCTGGCACAGATTTTTTGAGTGCATATGATCTACATAGCCGAGAGAGCGTGACTTAGGGTCATACGGCGAAGATCCCACATCACTCGTGGATTACGTGTTTCGGGTCTAACAATATACATGCCTTCTGTTAGGCCCAATAACGTGATGAAATTAAGATGCCGGGGCCTCACGTGAGAGCGAGTATGGCGATCAATTCCTTGAATCGCATTAATTCGATTAATTAAATATATCAAGGAAAGGGGATTTAATAGCGAAGGGGAATTGATTAAGTATAAGGGTTTAGGTGGATAAATTAGAGAGATCGAATTAAATAAAGAAAATAGAGAAGCGAGATTAATGTAATTAAATAAGTCATAATTAAAAATTAATATAAATAAAGGCCGAAATGGCCCTAAAGGAAAAAAAATGTCTCGTTTGCTTTATTAAATAACAAGTCCCAATACATTGTATCGTCCATAATAAAATCCTAACACTATACACAGTATAAACCCTGTAAACTCCTATAAACATCGTCGTTCGTTCAAGTTCTTGTTCACGTGACTTACTTTACTTGTATTTGTTGACCCAAAGTAACCGAAAGCCTTAATCACCCACCAGCCAAATCTAACACCCTCTTTCGTAAAGGTTACCTACCGTACGTTACACGAGATTTTGGATTGTGGAGCGACCGAGTCGCAGTAAGCCGAACGGAACACTTCGTAAATTGTGCATGTTATCATAAAAAAGAGATCGCTTGATATCTTAGATTTTTTATTCAATTACGTATGTTTTTTTAAAATTCAGTAAATATACTTTTACATATGCTCTATCACACATTTTGCAAACCTCGCCAAAAATTTCAATTAATTGATTAATTGTTACTACGCCAATTAATTAATTGAGATCAAATAATTGCAATTAATTGCTTTCACAATTAAATTTTCGGTACACCTGACAGTTAGACCTCCCTAAATGTGCATTTAGAGAGGGTTGCAATTAGAGAACACCAATAAACTCATAATATGATTATCGTCACGGCTTTAATAGCCTAGAAAGAATGAATTTGATTGGCTAGTAATCACGTGGATGCATTTATGGAGGGAGTTTTTATATGTGACATCATGCATTTAGAGGGGTGATGCATTTAGGAGTCTGATTGTATTTAGGAGACAGTGAAAGGCAAAATCATGTAAAAGAAATGCTATAACGATAATATAGGTGAGAAATATCAAATATCATCCCAAATGAAGAATAAATTTAAATAATTTTAGATGCAATGTTATGCAGCACACATGTACGCATGTGCCTAAATTATTTTTGCCTCGCTGTAAATAAAAATCTCCGAAAGAATCTTAGGTATTTAATTTCAGATACGTATTTGTTATGCATAAATTTAAATTGATAATATTTTCGATAGATCTTGTTTTTGCAGATCGTCTTTTCATAATAAAGTCTTATTGAAGTAACGATTTGCTATCACAAGAGTGCACAAAAATGATTTCGCAACCACGAATACGAATTCGCAGGGATTACGACATAAAAATTAGAAACACCACTGCTCTTTCGATTCTACAACATACCAAAGTAATTTGGTAATTGACGAGGTAATTCAGAAGTTAGATGGGAGGTATGTTTAGGCGTTTCAATTTAACTACAATGTATTAAACTTGGTAAAATAAGTCATTTTTCAAAAGATTTACAACGCTGATCTATTTTATTAATAACTTATTTATTTTTCTAAAGACAGACACGTACTGCTAGTAAATAGATTAGTGATGTGAAGCAATAAAAACATGAGCTTGCGAACTTTTAGAATATGGTTAAATTCGTTTGGCATTAATTAAATGTTATCATGTACGATTAAAAAATTATGATTTTTATAGTCTTTTAAAATAAATAGTTTATATTTTTATGTATAAATTTTTTTTTAAATTGGTGTTATAGTATTTTTTTAAAAAATAAGATCTCGGATTTTTTATATTAGGATGATAGTTTTAGACATTGAGTTAATAGATTTCGTAGTAGTGCATTTATTAATATATACAGTAGTAATAAATATTCAATTATTAATTATATCAGAATATAGTTTCGTATAGTATAAAATGTCTTGCGAATAATTTCGATTAACCAATGATATTTTTGCGAGTTATCTACTAACCGAGAACAGGAGGAACCGTTAATGTTACACCAAGTGAGGGATTATATCCATCACATTTGCAGTTACATGTAAATAATTTCAGATTAACTGATCACCCCGCGTGAACGACGGAACGAGGGATTATATCCATAACATACATTTTAGAGTAAACTCAAAATAAATAATTTTATTATTGATTAACTACATCGTGTGAAGGATTAATGTGTTTCTCCTGTTAGACTAACTTGATTCTGTGTTTTACATTACCCTCCCCCCTCAGCATTCCCCCTCTCCATCATAGTAAAAAATTTAGATATACATAGGGCTACGGGCTATTTCGGAAAATTTTTATATAGTGTGAGCCCCGAAATCGGTCACGGTCTCACGTGACCGATCGTCGAAATTAGGTCCCGAGTGACTGGTCACATGAAAAGTAAGAGAAATCTTACTTTTCTTACTTTTATTACTTTGGCTACTTCGGGTAGAACGACGGTATATGGGGCATTCGGGATTTAGTTATTATGGTGGGAAAAGGGGTTTTAAGGATGAAATATTGTAAATAGATAATGTAGAGGAAATTATCCTCGAATGTAAATAAAGGTTTTATTATAAATAAAGGGCTTTCCGCCCAGGGAGAAAAAAAAAACGGTACCCCAAGTAAATACATTTGCTTAAATAAACTTACAGTATCGGACCCATATTAAAAGTGAAACTATAATCCCACCCAAACTAAAATTATCGTTAAAACTATTGTAATCAACTATCGTTCGCCCATTTGTAATCCATTAAACCCGCATTTTTGTTCGTTCGCCGCAAGTCACGTGACCAATCCGTTAACGCAAGAGAAGGACTCCAACCCCGATTCGACGTTTCGTAACCCCAGGTTAAAGAAGTAAAGAGAGGACAAGAGAAGGCAAGGGTTAATAGAAGAATAGGTTGAAGGAAAAGACACAAAGAGAAGAGACGAGTACTTACCTACGGATAAACCACCCAGCCAAATCTAACACGCTTAGCCGCCGTAGGTTACACGAGGATTGGAAAGAATTAGCCGGTTTCCCGCGCAACAATAGTCATGTAACAATTCGGAAAAAAAATTTTTTTGAAAAAAAAGTTTTTTAAATATAAACCACAAATTCATCCCCCTCTTCTGGAAGGTAATGTAAAACACATTATCAAGTTGGTCTCGCCATATCAGTGAGATTTGGCCTGTTGGACGACAGTCAAACCTTAAGTTCTGTAGATGACAATCAAACCTTAAGCTCTGTGGTGGCCTGTCAGGACGGCAGTCACAAGAATTAGGTTTGTCACAATACATCCGAATTTGGCCTGTCGGACGACGGTCAAATCCTAGAGATATTAAAGGCGGCCTGTCGAGACGACAGTCACAAAGAATTATTGTGTTTGGTACATATTACGCTCGGGTGGATATCGTTTTGATGATTGAGAGCATAATAAATGAAAGGAAATTTCGAAATCTGGGATTTTGACATAGATACGAATAAAATAGCGCGCAAGTAAATAATATAATGCGCAAATAACGCGCAAATTAATCAACTAGGAACAGAAACCGGCTTAAATCTGGAGCTCTTGGTTATCATTTTACACAAACGCGTAATTTTTTGCACCATGTACAAATATAGACAACGCGGAGCTACAGGCGAAACTACTTTTTTTGATATTTTTATTATAAACGCGTAATTTCAGTGAGTCCACGCTTCGCTTCGGACAATAACGTGCAAATAAATAAAATAACATACAAGCGAATAAAATAACGCGTAAATGAATAAACTAACGTGCAATCAAATAAAATAACATCAAGGTGCGTAATTTTGCGACTATAAAGTAAAACAATGTTAACTGCAAATTTTTCACCAATCCTTTGAAAATTATGCCCTATAAGTGTAGCTTCTACAAGAAGTTTCTATTGATGTAATGAGAGTGTATTTCGCAAATATCAAAACTGTCAAATTCTAATTCCAGTTAATATTATTCTTAGGAATATAATTACCAGTTTGAATGAACCAATTCACAGTAACGGTTTTTTATATTGCTTGATTTTATTTTGAATTTTAAACTAGAAAATATATAAGAAGTGTAATTTGTAACTAGTTATCGAGGTTGTAATGAATTTTAACATGAATTTATATTAAACCAAAGATTAATCGGCACAGATGTTTTTTTTTTTTTTTTTACAATATAATAGAATATATATGTTAGTTAAACAAGAAAGTTGAAAAGACTATACATATAGTTTTATTAATGAATTTAATTATATAAAATCTCGAACAAATAAATGATAATTCTACTTTGTAGCTTATCTCAGATGCAAAAAAAAAAATACGGTATTTCATTCTTTTCATTTACAATATTCACTATAAAAGCAAAAGTTTTCTTCTACCATAATTAAATTAGCCTTTCATTCTTAAGACACTGATTTAATCTAAACTATCACCTTTATATCTTTGCTTAGCAAGTTCCACTAGTTCATTAAACTCTCCACTTGATTCGCACATTGCTCTAAACGTTGATTCTGGATTCTGCAGTAATACGTATGGTGAATTATATTCTATAACCTTGCCTGTATCTTTTTTAAAAAAAATAATAAACATGTCACTCCAAAAACAAGACTTCATAATAAATCTAAAATTAAAACCAAATTTTACCCATAACTAAAACTTTGTCACAATCAACCACGGTCCTCAACCTATGCGCAATAGTAATGACGGTACTATTCGCAAATTCTTCTTTGATAGTATCTTGGATTAAACAATCAGTTTTGTAATCTACACTTGCTGTGGCTTCATCCATTATTATTAATTTCGAATGTCGAACTAATGCTCTAGCCAAAGCTATTAATTGTTGTTGTCCTTGTGAAAAATTACTTCCATGTTCTCTAACTGGACTATCTAAATGTAAATCTTGTTTTTTTGATATTGGTGTTTCGGTGGCTGATAGCTGGTGCGAAAGTCTTGATTTCTCGTTATTAGTGAGGTAGTTTGTGTATTCATCTTCGATATCACCATTTATCAGATGAGCTCGACGAAGTGCATTCCATAATGTTATGTCTTTGTATTCGCTGAAGGGATCTAGGTTACTTCTGTTATCATTAAGAAAAAAACAAATTGGTTCAAGGGTTGAGTGAAAATGTTTGTGAATGTAATACTGTATAATACCTTATCGTGCCATTAAATAATACTGGATCTTGTGGTATTATAGTTATCCTACTTCTAAGATCTTTTAATCCTATTTTAGTAATATCTATTCCATCAACAATAATCTGTCCTGATTTTGGTTCAATAAATCTAAAGAATGATGTTGCCAATGTAGACTTTCCACATCCTAAAGTAAAATTAAAATCATCAGATTCAAAAATTATATATAATTATCCGATTTTCGTTCAATTTTCTTTTCTTACTTACCAGTTCTTCCAACTATGCCTATTTTTTCACAATCTTTTATATGAATAGTAACATCTTTTATCACTGGTGGGTTTTCGGGTCCATATTGCATTACCAAATTATTTATAAATATCTCTCCTTTAACAGGCCATTCAGATGATGGTCGATTATCAGGAATTATTGGTGCAGGTTCACTTTCGAGATTATCAGTGTAATGCACTAGACGCTCTACTGCATTCATATTTGCTTCCTAATTATAAAACAAGCAGTCAATATAAGAAAACATAATTAACCTAAACTCCAACTTTACACATTAACAGTAAAACATTTACCACTTCAGCAAATTGTCGAACACACCAATTAAAATCCGCTGTAACTTGTGTTGCATAACTAAGAATCAATCCAATAATCGCAGGTTCTACCTGAAACCTTTGCATAATTGCCAACAAACTTGCGCAATAAATCAATGAGTTGGCGATAGTTTCAAGACGGATTCCAAGCCATCTATTGATAGAAAATTGTATAAAATACGCTCGATTTTCTATATCCATGTAATTCTCATTGGTACTATTTATCATGTTAAATTTATTAATGGCTATATAATTATTAGTAAATATATATATATATTATTTCAAAAATTTCATACCTTATGAATCGTGCTTGTTCTCTGTATGCTCTAATTGTTGGTAAACCAGTTAAAGATTCGGAAAAATGTGCGTAAAGTGATGACCGTAATATTGAGTCAAGCCCTAAACGAAAGCCTTATAAGAAAAAAAATCCTAGGATAAGCTAAAATTTGAATATTTAGAACTTACGTTTCAATTCACGATTTGTTGCTCTAAAATAAATGGCAGCGCAATAATATAATATGATAAGTGGTATCAAAGGTACAAGAAACCATATAAAAACTGCAATTATCAGTGCAAAAGTTCCACAGACATTCGCCAAAGTGCTGAAAAACATTCGATATGATTCAGTGATCAAATTATCACAAGCATCAATATCTTTGCTAAATCTATAAGAAAAATGATTGTGAGAATTATCATACATAAAGAACGCACAAAAGTGATGTTAAATAATAAAATACCGATTGATTATTCGACCTAAAGGTGTTGTTTCAAAGAAATTTATTGGTGCTCTCAGAATTTGTTGAATTGCCTTCCTATGCAAGTTTCTAGCAGCAGTGATTCCAGCAAAAGAAAGTGTTAAACAGACTAAAACACTGAAAATGCTTTCTGCAACACCCCATGCGCAATAGACTGACATCTATATTCAAGTTGTAAGAATTATGATTATAAATATCGTATATCTTACAATATTATAAAGCGAAACTTACGTATTGTTCGGTCGTTAGAGCAAAATTATTGCTTGTCCAAAATGAAAGCCATAAATTACTTCTATTGAGTGTGAAAAAAAAGGTCTTAGAACATATTTAATTCACGAACCTCAAAATATTATAAATACTAGGTGCAAACCCGATATTGCTTCCTTGCATCATCACCAATAAAAATAAAAATAATGGTATCAATGCCAAACCCCCGGCAGCTTTTATATAAGTTAGATAAATCTCGTCTGCAACGGCACCTGTTGTTCGCTCTTCTAATGACATTAATCCTTGTGACGATGTAGATGGAATAGGCGATGTAAAATTTTTTTCCGTTGACTCATTTGTTTCAATGTTAATTGTAGTTATTTCATCTTTGGAATCCCCAAATTCTGATATTAATTTTGCGAAGCTTTTTTTGGCATTTATTAACTCTTCATATGTTCCTTGTTCTACAATTTCACCATCTTCCATACAAATGATATAATCAACTTGAGATAACAGTTGTAGTTGATGGGTAACTAAGATTCTGGTTTTTTTCGCAAGTGATCCTCGTATACAATTCGTAAACAAGTATTTTCCAACATGCGCATCGACAGCCTATTAAATAAAAATTAGTATTTTAGTAAGGATTTAACACAAATATTAATATTAATTACATTAAAGACTTACTGATAATGGGTCGTCCAACAAAACAATATCAGCATCAAAGTACACAGCTCTCGCAATATTTACGCGTTGTTTTTGTCTAAGTGATAGACGGTTTAGCATTTGGATTTAGAAGTGAGCTAGAAAAAAAAAATAAAAAAATCTTTATAGTTTTAACATACCCTCCAGAAAGATTAATTCCTTTTTCACCAATTTCTGTCATATCACCCGCTGGTAGGATCGCTAAATCGGGTTCAAGGCAACAATCCTTTATTACTCGTTGATATTTTTCTTCATCAAACGGTAAACCGAAAGTAATATTGTCTCTAAGCGTAGAATTTTGTATCCAAGCAGTTTGTGGACAGTATCCAACAGTACCGCCGAATATTATTTCTCCACCAACTTTTTTCATTTCACCAACCAACGCTGATAGCAACGAAGATTTCCCTGAACCCACGGGACCCACAATAGCAACAAGTTTTCCATGAGAAATTGTAAGATTAATATCACTAAGACGCAACTGAGGCGTCAATATAGGCGAATGTTCTACATCGTCGTCATCAACATCATCAACATCATCAGTAGAAATCAAAGAATAAGTAGATAAACTTTCTGCAAATTGGTCATTTGGAATTCTTTGACTACCCTTATCAGAAACGGGAGATCCATCCCATACGAATTCCCCATTTATTACTTTGATAGCAACTTTATCTGCATTAAAATCAATTTTAGGTAGATACTCTAATTCATCGGCTAGCAATATTTCTTGGATACGGCCAATTGAAACCCAAGCATCAGTTGCTACGGCAATAACCATAGGTAAAAGTTTTAGAGGTAAGCGAATTATATTAAAGAGTGCCAAGGATGAAAATACTAATTCGGACGTAAGTGTACCACCAGTAAGTACAAATACAACAAAAGAAAGAATACTAGCAAAAACTGGCATCACCTATTATAAGAAGAGTAAATAAATACCGACGATAACTATAGAAATCTTTCAATCATTTTATCAAAACATACCGACGCGACGCCTGTGACAATTGCACGAATAACTAGTATAAATTTAGTATATCCAAGTTCTTTGTCACGTAATTTATTTAAAGTTTTCAAGAAACTATCTTCCCAAGCATAATATTTTATAACTCGAATTCCTTGTAAAATTTCCTGGGTCCACTTAACACGTTCATCGGTAACCTTTGTTGCTTTACTACGTGTGGATGCCAATGCCGACATCACTCTTCCTTGCAATGGTCCAGTAATGACTAAAAAACTAAAACCTGCTAATGCAGATGGGCCAATGTTAAATATCAACAACGCGAGCGCTATCGAGAGTTGAAGCGGGGCGCTCCATAGTAAATGAAAATAGGAACAAAAAAAGTCAAGTCTAGTTGTATCCGTTGATATTATATTTGTAATTTTGCCAATTGTAAATGAATTACGAGCTTTACAACTGAGAACCATGGCCTTTCGGTAAATGGTAGTAATTAAAATTGTACGCGTCATGAAACCGGTTTGATCGGTTCCCCAGAGACACCAAATACTAAGGAAAGTTGATCCCATTTGCATAAGAAATAGCACCGACGCAAGGATGAGTCCATCAGATATTGGAGGTGCATTTGTATTATTAACGTTAGCATTGAATGAGCTCACCGAGAATGTCAAAATTTCCTATATATGACATTAAAATAATAAAGTGCTTGTTAAACTTGATTATGTGTCACGTGGCAATCACGCAATGTTCGTGAAAGGTAGTTTAGTTATACTTGCTGGCAAAACCCGGACAAATCCCAAACCTCAAAAAAACAAATTGCTTTTATAAAAAATTAAATAAACAAAATAATTTTGATATTTTGTGAATATATTATATATAGCTATAAGATATATATTATTTGTTTAAATAAGATGATTAATAAAGTTTTTGAGATATTAGTTTGGACTTGAGTTTGGGATTTGGGCGCGGACAAACCCAAACTATAATAGTTTAGGATTTGGGCGGCAAGTATAAGTTTAGTTCTACAAATAAGTTATACTATTAAAGGATAATAATCAAGTGTTAAAAGTACCTGTATTACCAAAGGCGACAAGACCTGTAAAGTATCACCAAAGAATCTAGCGACTCCTGCACACCAAAATCTAAACCCAAGCATCCTATTTAGAGCTTTTAACAATGATGGTTTCTTTCCTTTCTTAACCTTTTCAACTTCCTTTTTCCACTCAAGTGCAAACTTTTCTGCCAAATGCTTTGATAATCTTTTATCATCTAAAATATATAAATCTTCTTTTTGCAATGGTCTTTCATATCCAAGTCGCAAAAGTGCTGATGGCCAATGAAATATTAGTTTAGAAAAGAAATTTGCATTTGCCTCTGGTATGATTTTTTCGCAGTTTGGTGGTCGTGATTTTTCTTCAGGGGATTTTTTTTTTCCAAAGGCCATATTATTATTATTATTATTATAATTATTATAATTATAAGCATAAATTCATATGCGCGGGCGAGGATAATAAGGCTACTAGTCACAATGCCAGCAATTAATCTTTTGAAAAAGTATGAGTATTGTTGCCTAAAGAAATTTTAATATGATCGTGTTGGGATATTGTAAAAAGAGTTTAACATTTCGAACCTATTTCTTGTTTTTGTTGGTACCCGAAAAATAAGAAATAATCTCGATCTCTTTCAATGTTCCAAAACAAAATATGCCTAAGCCTGGTTATTTCATTGGAACATCTAAATTGTGACAACTTTGTTGGCATAAACATAACGAAGAAAATAATTATTGGGGAATAATACGACAAGTTAAAAACATCCACTCGTAATTTTCAAACGGAACTTGCGCTCAAATGTGGCTTTGTACATAATATTCGAGAATTGTGTCTTTTTTTGGTTCGGTTTAGGTAATTGTTATTCTGAGTAAGTTTATATCAGCCACAACAATAATGATATTTTCGAGAATAGTGGCGCGTGGCATATTAAAAATGGTAACTTACACGTAAATTAAGAACTTTAATTATTTGTATGACACTGGTTGGGAGAAAATAAATGTTCTTTCGTTCTTTTAATCTTTTTAAACAATAATATAGGAAATTTTTTTGCAACGTATTTATCGTTAGTTCGTTTAAACTGGCAGTTTGCCAACGAATAACAATCATTTCAAGCGGTCTTTTTGCTATACATTACGCAGCATGTGTTTATACATATGATCTAAAATAAATTTATACACAACTAGCAAATCAAAACATTAAATGTCGAGTCTAATCCTGTCTGTTGGTTAAAGTCTGGATTATCGGGCCACTAAAAAGAACCAAAAAGTTAATTCAGATTTATTAAATTCAAAGCTAGAATATGAAATAATTAATTAATTGGTTTTCATAACCCGGCTAAGTCAAATTTTGAAAGCTTGTAATAAAATTTTTTTATATTTTAATAATCAGGTGGGTTTTTAAAAATAAAAATTTTATAAGATTTATATATAATTTTTTTTTTAAAAAAAGCCGGCTGGCCAGCCGGGTTTGTTCAAAGTTTCTTATTATGAAACCCGATATATTAAATTTGTGACCCTAATATAGGAACACCTATAGCAAAAACAGAAGATGAGACTATATATTATATAGTTCCATCTTTTGCTTTTGCTGTAGGCGTTCCTATATGCACCTGTTGTTTATTTAAATAATAATTTTAATTAGGATGTTGACATTTATTAGATAATATTTTGGGTTAGGATCTAGATTAAACTTTATTTTAGTATATATAATTTGATTGATTTATCAAAATATAAATATAAATCTTATAATAAATTAATATTAAATAATAAATATCAGGGTCTTTAACACTATATACATAGAACCTTTAGATGTTTATTTTCTATAAATATTATACATTATATATAAAGTATATTTTGATATAATTTTTATTTGAATTTTGATATGTAGATTACATATATTCAAAATTTATTCATTTATTTGTTTTTTTTTAAAGTTAAAGTCTCTGTCTTTGAAGAATAATTTTTATTCAAATTTATATAAAAACAGGAACCTCCAAGAGCTGCTTTACATAAAAGGTTACAACTAGTTATATATGCACTTTGGTCTTTAATTTAAGTAGTCTGCTTATATATTATTATATAGGTTTTACATAAATATCATATCTGCAAGCCAACTACAAATCTTGACTATTTAAATCTTCTGCATATGCAATTCACCTTGTATTACAGAACATCTTTCAGGTTACTTTACTCAAAGTTCTAAATTTACTTATTTTTACAAGTAATATGAATTATATATCAATAGTAAATATTTATTATTATTTTTGCTAAAATTATATAAAATTTAATTAGTATTATAATTAAGATTAGAAATAAAAAAATTAAAATTGAATAGTAAAATTTTGGCAAAAATTTTTTTATTAAAATATAAAAATAAATTTTAAACAAAATTTTAAGTTACTGATAATATTTTAAAAAAATTTCAAGTTATATTATACAAAAATTGCATATAATCTTGTAATATATATAGAAATTTTTCTTTTTTGAAGTTTGTATTATTTATAAAAATAAGTATATGCAAATTTTTAATACTTATTAGTACTTTTAGTTTATTTTATTATTGATAAAAAACTTACTAAAGTTTTTAATATTCTATATATAGCTAATCTAGTTTTATTACTTTTATAAAACACAAGTCAAAATCAAATATATCAAACAAGCTATTGGCTATTTGAAATTTCTATAGTACCAAACAGCAAAAAATATCTAATTTTTTAATAGTTGTTTAATATTTAATAACTTTCTATCAAATAATTATTTAAAAATTTCTTTTACAGATTATTATTTATAATCTAAACTACAAATCTGTAAAACAGATTTTTATTATTATGCTTTTTACAAAAGTTATAAAGGATCAAAATTTGGTAACTTTAATAATAAAGCAGAAATTTGGTACAAAGAAATTAACTAATCATATTAATACTAATCACATGCTAGTAATTTTATTGGTTAATACTCATATTAAAAATTAAGCAATCTATTATATATATATATTACAAAATACTACTGTATAATATACAAAATGATGTTAAATATAAATATAGTGCTTATAAATAATGCTCTGCAGTTCATATTACTCATTCTTACTAAGATATGACTATAAACCTATTCTTTTCAAATATACAATAACTATATTATATATGACAACTACAATTGTATACATCAATATTAAGAATAACAAGATAGTGTAGTTATTTGTGAAAGTAAATTGAATTTAGTGAAGTTTATAAAAAGTTTAAATAAGTGAATATATGTTAAATGTTGTTAAGAAACTATACCCTTCTCTGAGGCAGTTTGAAAAAGGTAATACAATACTAATAAGTTTACTTTATTTTACTAAAAGAAGATAAACCTTGTTTGTAGAAATTACTTTAAAGGAAAAGTATCAATATAGTTTATAGTCAAAAGCTGTTTATTAAAATAATAACAAGAAGAGCTATCTTTAGGTTTTTGTTTTTAAAGAATCTTAGAATGTGTTTACAATATTAAAGAGAAGAGAAATAACTATTGCTTAATTACACTTAAGAAATTTAGCAGAGTTTATATAGCTGTAAGCTAAGCAGCTAAGCAGTCAAGCAACTAAGTGATTAAGTAAGTAAATGATTAAGCATTAAATAACTAAGCAACTAAAAAACTAAGCAACTAAATGATTAATTGATTACTAAGCAACTGGAAGGTTTTAACAACTGGGTGTAGATCAAAATCTTGACAAACAGAATCCTAACAAGTTATAATCTTAATAAAAAAATCTCAACAGTTAAAAATTCTAACAATTAAAAATTTCGATAGTCAGAATTTTTAGATAAAAAATCTCCAAGTATGAGATATGTTTAAAGCAAAATAAGCTTTTATAATTTAATTAATTTTAGAGTTAAATCACTTTAGATAATGATTAATATAGAGTTTGCTATGGTCTATTATATTTTTTATTAGAGTTTTTAATTATCAGAATTTTAACTATTAGGATTTTTGACTGTCAAGATTTTTAGCTGTTAGGATTTTTTTGTCGAAATTATGATCTGTTAGAAGTCTGTTTGTTGGAATTTTAATCCAAATTCCTAGCAACTAATAACTAATAATTACTAAGTAACTAAGTGGCTAAATGACTAAGTAACTAAGTGATTAAGCAACTAAGTAACTAAGTGATTACTAATCAACTAGAAAGTTCTAGCAACTACTAATAATAATAATACAATAATAAATAACTAATACTAAATAATAATAATAAAATAATAATAATTACTAATAATAATAATAATTTATTCGAAAACACAATTCAACTTAATCAGATTCTTTTTGATGATCATCTAGACCAAGTTGTTACTAAAAGTAAATTGAAGACTCTGGCTCCAAAGTAAATAATATTCTTAGTTTTATATCAAGTAAACTTGCTGTCAACAAAGCTCAAGTATGTGATACACCAAGAAGCAAGCAAAACTTGAGTGGTTCTTGTCTTGAGTTAAGCTTTTTGTCTGATGAACTTCCTTGCATATTTAGCATTCAAACTAAAAGGATATTCTGAAAGCAAGTAGAAACAAAATCAGTTCTTTGGTTAAGAATATTAGAAGCAGAAAAAAAGAAGAGTAACTAGAAAAACTCTTCTTAACTTGAACCCTTGCAACAACAATATATCTTTTTTCATCTTTTTTTTGTTTTCTTTTTTTTAAAAAGTAGGGATTTGGCTTACCTTCATCAAAAGATCAATATTGTGTATTACTTCTTTTTGCAATTACATGCTTGTTTGAATATAGCAAATAAGAAACACAACAAACACATAAGTTAGCCAATCATGTAAAGCAAATCAGAAAAAGATTTAATTCAGAAAGACCACAAATATATTAAGATATATATATATTCTGAAGCTATGTGCATAATATTTTTTAAAAAAAGAATTACAAGGATTTATGAAGAATTGAACTGCTTAAGTGCACTCCAAACCTTGGTACAGTATCTTATCTACTTGAAGATTTCTTCTATACAGAAAATATCTGACTTGAACTCTGTCCTACAAATGAATACAGTTTTCATTCTGGTTAAGACTACCTAGTTTCTAGAGAATAGTCATAGTCCATAAAAATATGAAAACATTGTAGCAAGCAGCAATTATAGAATAGAGTTTTATCCTATTAGCAGGTTTCCTTCTTTATTCTCCTTATAGATTAGTTTTGTTTTCTTTTTGTTTAGTTTTATTTTACTTTCCATTTTCATTTCACTTTTTCCTAACTTTAAAATCATTTTCTTGTATTTTTTTGTTTTTCTCTTTTTTATGAAAAGATGTTTTTAGATTGGTGATATCCTATTATAGGGCAGAGGTCAGACAAGTTATAATTTCTAGTTCTAACTAGATTAGTATGACAGATTGCATTTAGGTACTGCTTGGGTGTCAAATAATGGTAGACTTATAAATTAAATGGGGTGTAGGTCAAAATCCTAACAAACAGAATCCCAACAGATCATAATCTTGACAAAAAAATCCCAACAGTCAAAAATCCTGACAATTAAAAATTCTGATAACCAGAATTTTTAGATAAAAAATCCTCAAGTATAAGATATATTTAAAGTAAAATAGGCTCTTATAATTAATTAATTTTAGAGTTAGATCATTTTAGATAATGGTTTGGATAGGATTTGCTATAGTCTATTATATTTTTTATCAAAGTTTTTAATTGTTGAAATTTTAACTGTCAGGATTTTTGACTATTGGGATTTTAGCTGTTA